GTTCAGCTCGTCAGTTTGCTTCCAAGCTGAGACTCGAGGCAACAAGTCTCGTCCAGTCCCAGCCTCCGCTCTCACCTTCACCATCAATTAGACAGGAAAACCTTGCTCAGCTTCAAGTTTAAAAGCTTGGCTTCAAATCTCTTGCCGACTCAAGCAGAGGCTGAACTCTCAGTTCACGTTGGGTCAGATGGATTGGGCCGATTTCTGGGTTTATCCAGCATCTGGGTTGGATTTGCGTTCATCCTTGCAAAATAGTAATAAACCGGACTAACCTGTTAAAAAAACAGCATGTCCTTTATTAAACAAAGGAAGTGCGAGCACTACCCAGCTGCTGATGGACGTGTGCACACGTTACAAATACATCTCTGTTACATTGTGTGTTCACTGTGCTAATCATTAGCTTTCTCCTCTCGATAAAGCTTGGCCATAGTTTGTCACGAAGGAGGCTTTTTTTGATGTCCAGTAACAGTTCTACTTGGTTTATGTTCATTTTAAATGTTGCAGATAAAGGGATTGCGAGTTTATTGCACTTCAAGAATGAGCAGCTGAAAGGTGCAACATAATCTGTGATCATTTAAAATGCATTGGTTATATCAGAAAGTGGATCTCGTAAAAGTAAACACAAGAGAAGAAAAGAAAGGAACTTGGGTTTTTATAACACCATATCACGTCTAAACATCGCAAAGCGATTCACGTGCAATTATTGTCAAGGGTAGGGACTTAAACTGCAGAAGGTATGATTGGCTTTTAGTTTTCCTTCAACTGTACTTTGCTTCTGGCTAGCTCTGTTCAGATTATAAATTTAACACTTTTCTGATCACAACACAGTAACAAACCACTCCAGATGTTGATATTCCCATTCCTCACAATATGTACTTTCAGATAATTCTCATAAACTCTTGCTTAATAATAATAATCCTTGATATAGCACCTTTCAAGTCATCAAGACATCTCAAAATGCTTCACAGTAAAGGGGATTGACTGTATATTTGTGAGTCGAACACGACAGCCAGTTGCGCACAGCAATGTCAAACAAACAGCCAGCAATGTCAAACAATTCACCCAAAAAGAATGACCAACCTTTTAGATGAATTGTTGGCAAAGCAAAGTCACGTTAGGTCTTCTGGCTCAAGCTGCACAAGTCAGGTGCCTGTACGCCAGTTTAATCAGATTGTAAATGTAATGCAATAAAAGCTCAGAGAAAACTATATAAACTATTTTCATTATTTCTATTGAATACTCTATACATCATCCTCAGAGAGCTTTATACCACAGTTAGTATGCAATACAAATTGACATGTACGTGACCTGGTTTTTCTGAATAGATATAAGGATTTCTAAATAAAGAACCTACGTGTAGTTTCCAATATGTATGTAACAAACACGTTCCGGATGTTCACACTGAAGAAGAGAAGCCTTGGGAATATTTTACTGAACTATTCAAGATCATAAATGTAGATGAACTAAACCCTAATAGGATGTTTAACATAGTCAGAATATCTAAAATGATGGGTTGTGGACTCAACTTCAAATGAGGGAAGGTTAGGATTCAGTGAATTCTAATAATAATCCTTGCACTTGATATAGTGCTTCATCACGTTGTTGAAATGTCTCAAAGAGCTTTGCAGGATTTACTGTAAAGTTGCAGTGACTGTATATTGTAAGCACAGCAATGCCCCACAAACAGCCATGAAGTAAATAACCAGTCACAGTAAATGTGTATTTGACACAGAGAGTGGTAATTATGTGAAATGGACTACGCAGAGATCGTGCTTAGCAAACCCATGAGAGAATTTGACGGCTATTTTGCAAGATATGTACCCTGTTCGATCGAAGGGTATGATAAATGGGAGGATTTATTTCATTTTGAGAACACAGTGGTCTTTCCCAGTCCTATGCATTCGCCTGCAAAAACAGTCACTACATTTTTCGGTAAAATCCTGTGAAGCGTTTTGAGATGTCTCAACGACATGATAAGGTGCTGTATCAAATGCAAGCATTATTAGTCATTACATTTCACAATAAAATCCTGTGAAGACCTTTGAGGCATCTTAACAAAGTCATAAGGAGTCACATTAAATGTAAGGATTATTATTATCATCATAATTGTTTTTATTCCTCTGTCACTAGCAAATATGAAAAGGTTATCAGTTTTAATTGTTTTATGCAAAAAATAATTCCCTGTGGCACGAAGAAATCCTCCTGGACTTCAGAGGTTGCGCCTGAAACAGAAGGGGAACAGGAGAGATTTGAAAGCAGGCATGATGGTCATTTATAACCAGCTTGTCATTACATCCTTGTATGGACACCGTTTCCAGTTAGTGCATCATTTGGAACCATTCTGGTAAATGACACCTGCATTACTACATCCAGGGGCTGACAGTAATCGGAGCCGATGGCCTCAAAATACATAAGGCAGCCTTTCATTAGGAAATGCTACAGACTCAATGTGCCCTTTGCACAGCGTGTGTCTGTATGTGTGTGTATAACCCGCGCTGCTGACAGTCTAATTATCAAAATTCAGAATCTGCCGTTAACAGGAAATAAAATACTGTGTGTGAACAAAAGACTGAAAACAGATTAGGATCTTTCCCCTCCCCCCACACATGTACCCAATCACCTTGTTCAATACATTACACTGCAAATGTATCCAATGGATATTTTTAGATTACAAATATGAAATGAATCGTACCACAGAGGAATCTATTACATATTGAGGGCATGTGACATAGGAGCAAAATGATCGCTTTACTTAGTTGTTCCTAGGAAGCAAAATGCCTTTAGACTTCTGTGCAATGAATGTGGTAGTAACTTGTCCTAATTAAAGTTGTTAACTCATCTCCAGCAGCTGTTTTTCAATTGGGCAATAAAAGCAGAGACTGTCCCATTGAACTCTTTGCTCTGCTATTGGGCAACAAGGGAACAACACAAACTTGTTAATCTACACAAACTGCACTTTCCTCTTTAAGCAATGCCTGATCAGCTCCATCAACATTAGTCATGGGGCCCAGCGAACTAAATGCAGACAAAATGGTGTTTCCGGCAAGCGGTGAGTTCAAGGAGCAAAGCAATGAGAATCTAATGTGTCCTGTGAACCCAGACTCATTTCTTTGAAGGTGTGAGGAATCATTTCTGTTGCCACATAGAGCAATACTTGCCAAGTTCAGAACCTTGTGTGGGTCCCAGCGTCTTGGGACATCCTCCTGATGTGAAAAGCGTTATACAAATGTAATCTTGTTGTTGTTGTTGGGTCTGCTCAGGGCTGAACTCTCACCTCTGCTGCCCTGGTTATGAAAAAGCCTAACGAAAATGCCGCTCCCAACATCACTTTGACCAGTAACAAAGAACTTCCAAACCCAAAAGATCTTCTTGCTTCTGCAAAGAGTTCCAATGTTCTCCTCTCCCAGAGGCAGTGATTCAAGCCAGGGTCCTGCTCCACCCCACGCCAGCTCAAGCTTCTGATAACTCACTCAAGGACCCAACCTTCGTGCACCAGCCTGGACAGAATGTGATTGCAGGTTATTTGACTGCAAGATCCATCACAGCTGAGCCCAATAAAGAGTAGGGAGGTCCTCCCGGTGTCCTGGTCGACAGTCCCTAGGCAGCCGACTACAGCGAACGACAACTGCCCCAAGACCCATTGCAGCAATCACAACCTGCCGAGTATAGGGAATAGGCGGTTCAGTAAAGTGGGACGAGATCGCCGTTTCATTTTAAAGACAAAGATCGGGTGAAATTCTAGAGCTTCAACCCATCCCTTTTCTTTTCTCTGCCTCCCCGCTCTGTCACAAAAAAACACCAACCAATGAAGCTGAGGCAAAAAAACAAGAACTTTATTGTACACAGAGATCCAACATTTTTTTTAGTGTACAAGACAAAGTTTTCCTCTGATGCGTAACTTGATTGAAAATAAAACATCCTCAAATGATGAGAACAGTTTCATTACGAACAGACTTTGCAGCACATGACCCGAAAGCAAAACAAAATAAAAGAAAGAAAATGCTAAATCTCTAGAAAAAAAAACTCCCAATAAAATACAACAATTGCCATCTGGTGAAAAAATAATTTGTTTCCAAAGAAACAATATATAAATGTGGGTTGGGGACTTTATACGCAAGATAACAGATCAAATGGCGCAGATATGTTACAATCGCAATGTGTCATTGCGGTGTACAATGTGCAGGAACAGTCATATCAAGGTTCAGATTTTTCAAACGTTAAAATTGTAAAAGGTGTTCGGTGCAAAAGCTCGAAAAGCAGGGATGTACAACCTGCCCCCAGAATAAACTGTTCACACAATGAGCAACAGGCTCCGATTCCAAGCCCCCCCCTCCCTCCTCCCACCCCCATTAAAGCTGTAACATTCCCGTTAAATTATCAGAACTATAGTACTTCTGAGTGCACTGCCATTAAATACAAAAAGCTACAATTCATTATTATAAATTCTTTGAAAAGTTTTTTTGTTTGTTTGAAAAAATACCCTCATATAACATCCTTTCTTCCCTCCTCCCGCCAGCCTCCCTGCCCAAACCATAGAGGACAAAGAAAACAAAGGGCGGTGCAGTATCCCCTCTCCAGGGTCTGCTATTAATTGGGAAAGTCTTTTGCTATGGATTTGGAAAATTATTTCTTGTGAAATAGTCTATCAGTCGCTTTTCTTTTTCCCCTCACAGGGAATGAAGTGGTAGCAGACAAACAGACAGAGAGAACACGAGAAGAGAGAGAGAGAGAAGAAACTCAGAAAGGAAGAGCGTTTGTAAACCTGAATAAGATCCCATCACCTGTTTGATTAATCCTTCGAGGACCACAGAATGAGAAAGCATCTGGACCATCACTGCTCTCTCATTGGCATTTACAACGAGATAAATGTATTTCCTTCCCATTAACAGCCAGTTCGAAAACAAATACAAGCACAAGATGTGCAAAGGTGCCAAAGAACCTCAGGTTTCAAAGGATCAGAACAATATGAAGGATTTTTTTTTCTTTCACCCGCGTTTTTCCTTGTTTTAAAAATAAAAAGCTACACTGTACTGCGCTAGGTCTCAGGTAGACAGGACTATCTTAGCTACTCAATACAGCACCAGTTTGTATCCAATCTGGGGTAAACCAGCAGTCATGCTTTGACAGCATGCAATTTCTCCCCTCCCCGCCTCTCTCTCTCTCTCTCTCTCTCTCGACTCTGGATCCATGATACAACTGTGGGATTGTGCAAGTTGAAGCCCTTTAAAAAACATTAAAAAGGCAGCTGAAAGTTACTGTAATCAACGCAAAAGCAGATTGTCGTTACGAACGCTACAGTCACACCGTCTAATCCAAGCTCTGTGAATTGTCGCTTTGAACAACCACAAATGCCACACCCTGAACCCAATTACGGCCCCGTAATTTGGCTTCTTTTTCCCCCCCTTTATAAAGTGGAGACTTGGCCACGTTAAGTCACGCTGGTTAGTGCGGCATCAACATCGGTGAAGCACACGGTGGCTTCTTCGGTAATGCGATGCCACTGTACAACTTTTTTTTAAGGCTCTCGCTTTTTTTTTTTCCGTTTTAAAAAAATAAAGAGCCGGATTCTTAACACAGCTGAAATGCAACAGAACCGCACAGGACGGACGCCCCTTTTTTTTTTGCCAGCTGGACAGTGATGCATTCAGTCACGCGGGCTGCCGTCAGCCAGTCAGTACGCGAAGCCCTCCGAATACTGGAGATTGTTGCTGTGATCCAGTTCCAGCACGTAGGCCGCATTGTCGAAGTGAGTCAGAGGCACCGTGTCTTCCTTGTGTACGTGGCTGCTGTCGATTTCGGTCTTCAGGAAGGGGCGCTGGTTGTCCGGGAAGGCCATGGAGAAAAGTGCCTCAGGATCACACACGAACTTGTAAACGTATCGTTCCCCAGCGACCTGAATACCAAATGCAGACCATTCGTCAGTACAACCCCCTTCCCAACTGATAATAATTTACAACAATCCTGGCATTTTGATATCGCGCCTTATCACGTTGCTGAGACATCCCAAAACCCTTCACGGAATAGATTGCACACTGAATTGACTGCATTTTGTGGGCAAATTCTTTTTGAAGGGATTATTAAGCCCGGAAAGTGACCCGTCAATCAACTAACAACTGGGTTCCTACTTACTGCTAGGTAAACAGAGGTTTGTGGAGTAAGGAAACTTGCCTAACATTTCGCCCCGCCCGGAAATCAAACCTGGGTCGTCTCGCTTGCGAGCGCACTATTCACTACGCTACAGGACTCCAGAACAACGCTTGCATTTCTATAGCAGGGTATTGTCTCTCGAGTGCTCATCAACTTTTGACAGGATCACCAATAGCTTAAGGCTTAATTCCATGTTATTTGCCTCAAATACAAATAACCAAAAAAAGGTACAGCAAAGGTGTCTTAGGGAAGAAACGGTATTGTTGGCCAGGACATGGGGAGCAACTCACCTTTTGCATGATACCCTTCTCGTAGTAATAACGGAGAGAGCGGCTCAACTTGTCATAGTTCATGGCAGGACGGTTCTTCTGGATTCCCCAGCGGCGAGCAACCTGCAAAGCCATCAAAAACACGGTTAACAGAGAGGCGGCGATGGGGGAGTTATCTACAGCCACAGCATAAACAAGCCCCCGTAGTACAGAGAGCCAGCTGAGACTGAGCATTGGTGCCCTATTGATCTACATCCCATTAGTGCACATTGCAACTAATGCAGGTGTCTGCGCGTAGAACACTCGATGCAAGGTAATGGAAAAGGCCAACAGGCCATCCCTGTAACAGAAGATGAGCAGCAGTCGGCTGACAACGTGGCCAGTAACATTTTAATGAGATTTTGAGAAGAGTTCAGTCTACTAGCCAGTGCATCATTAACCAGGTATAGAGAACGGCAGGACGATTGCAGACGGCAACTCCCAGTCCCAGTGGGAACCCACCTGGGGCGCTGTTTATACAACATGCAAAGCTATCCTGAATCGTGACTGCACAAGGGAAAAAAAAACAACAAATAAAATAATGCACCCCCTCAACTTTCAGAATAATTTTACCGCAAAATAATGATGCTTCTTTGCTGAGGCAACTGACTGTCTGCCTTCCTGCCCATCAGCAACTGGCAATGCAACACATAAGAGTCCACGCATCATTACTGCTGGGCAGGATAACACTGGCTGCAATCACCCAGTGCACTTTAGGAAGACGACAGGACAAATACTGTTTAGAAAGTGACTTTTAGCGAAAGTTTGCCCGTTGGATAATCATTTACTGTATTACTGATGTGGGAATCGGGAAAGGGTTTCAATCCTACACCAGGCAGTATGTGATGTGCAGTGCACTCCACCTTATACAGTTTTGAAGCCATGTACCCACTGGCCTGCTCTGTGAACTGACGTGGACAGTCACAATCAGTTAAGCATGTGCCCAGACAGCTCAGAGCACTGGATGTATTCACTTCATACAAAATTGCCCTGTTACCATGGCACCATAATCCAGTTCCACAAGTGGATTTTTCACCCACTATTATCCCAACCGTGACTGAGGCCACTTTTTCAGGCTACCGTCTCCTTTCATTCTGCTAACTGTTCTACCAGATGCAGCAAACCCCGATAGCCACAGATCTCCGCACAGGGGCTTTCTTACGATGAAGCTGACCGAAGAAGCAGTTTGTGCGCAAAAACACGAACATACAACCACCGAAAGCGTGTGGCTAAACTCCACGCCCTGCTCCTTGGCTGTGGATCCACGTGAATTGCAGCGAGGAACTCATGCAATTCACTCCTGAATACCTTCCTTGGTACAGCTCGCGAAGCAAGGGTGATGAATTAATACTGAGATGGTAGAGCCACAAGTCAGGCGTGAGAGGAAAGGGAAAAAACGGTGGAAATATACCTCCACCCTCCCCCCTTCAGACTTTACCAGGCATATTTGACAGTCGATGACTCTACAGCCGCAAGTACACTTTTGTACTATTCACCTCCCCCCCCCCAAGTTACTGTGTGCAGTCCAAGAACAAAAGTGGATTCTTGTGTGCTACCTGCAAGCAACATCCTCCATCTCATTCACAGATTAGAACGAGTGCAGAAACTCCTGGGCTTTTGTCTCCATATCCATTTCCTGGCAGCACTGGGCTCTAGTAATTCCATCCTGCACACAGCTGTCAGCAAAAGTCGGAAAAACACTGCCGTTTCCTAAAACCCATCGCGGCCCCAGGGGTAGCCTGTCTCTGGCTTGCTCCACAGCTCTGCTCAGTTAACCTTGCACACATGGAACTACTTGACAACAAGGCATGCCCTTGGTTGTACAATACAGTGATTGAGAGTTTTTTGGGGGATCAGTGCAATGCAAAAGTGTGCGTATGTATGTGTGAGAGAGAGAGAGCGCGAGAGAGAACACAGTCACTTTAGTCTGCTCACAGACTAAGTCAACAACTAAAGAGGGTTTAGCACAGCCCCTCGATCCCATCCCTTGTTGATCATTACAGCAGCTGTAAAAATGCCAGCATTGTCCATGGAGCACTCAGACTCAGTTCCAGCTCTATATGAGGGAAGGCTGTGAGCACACGCCAGCAGCCAGGATGCTGACCACATCACTTAAAAGCCCTGTGTCAAAGCGGAAATCCTAATAAGCACAGTCCCCTTGGGTACCAGACTGGCTTGTGCTGAGGGCTTGTTTTTGAAACTCCAGTACATGCTCCCTGTGATCTAAGACCTCAAATGTTTTTTAAGTCTCAGCTTTTATAGTTAGGCATGCTACTTTCTAGGGAAATCTGGAATTGACTTGGGAGGATTATAGCTGAACTTCTACACAAGATGAAAACTAAAACCCATGTTTCAAGACGAATTCCAGTTCAGGGGTTTAAAAAGGGTCACGATACTTTAATGTGTTTAATGTTCAGGATTACAACTTTGGAGAATTCACTGACAAATCCAGATTTTCCTCCAATAGCCCACTCCATAAAGGCATTGCACAATACAGAGCTGAGCCACACAGACTCAATCCTTTCCCCCCTGCCCTCCCCAGTCTGCGACACTTTAAAAAAAATGCCACAAGTTAGATCTCAGATGTTTGCAAGTAGCAGGTATAATTAAAATAAAATAATCTGGTCACTCAATTCACAACTGTTTGTGGGGACACTGCTGTATATGTGTGAAAGCTGTTATACAAATTTGATTTTGTTGTTGATGTGCGCAATTAGGTAACGTTTCGCCCACAAAATACAGTCAATTCACTTTACAGTATATTCTGTGAAGTGCTTTGAGATATCTCCAACGACGTGATAAGGCGTTATATCAAATGCAAGGATTATTATTATTATTCTTAACTGATCTTTTGGGGTGTGGATCCAGAGAGAGAGAGAAAGACAGAAAGAAAGACAGGCAGAAAGAAAAAGTGTCCTGAGTCAATGAAGTGTCACTTCCCAGAGCAACAATAGAACCAACTAATGATCTGTGCTCTCAGTTACATTTTTATCATGCCCTAAGAGACCATACAACTCACCCAGCCAGTCACCAATATAATGGAGGTGAAGTCCTGATGTAACTAACCCAGTCACCAGTCTAAAAAGGGTCAGGTTAGGGTGTAAGTCACCAATGTAACCGAGGTCAGGTCTGGTAGTGTAACACAGTCGCCAATATAAACAAGGTCAGGTGTTTGTAATAACTAACCTCAGTCACCAATATAAGGTCAGGTCCTAGTGTAACTAACTCAGTCACTAACTTAGCCAAGGTTAAGTCCAGCGTATAACCAATGTAGCTGGAGCCCGGGAGCTGTTCACCGCACTACACTCACTTCTTCAGGTTCGATCAGCTTGAATTCCATGCCTCGTCCTGTCCAAGCAATGAAGTGGGAATTCGCCGGATCATCCAGGAGGGTCACGAGAAACTGCCACAACTGCAGAGATCCCCGGCGCTGGTACGGCAGGCTCTCCCGGTACACTGGGCATTCCTGTTTCACTTTGGCTGTTCAAGGAAAGAAACGGTTAGAATTTCTCCCACTTAAAAAAACAAACATCCACTTTCATGGACAATAACAATAACATTCTTTGCATTTGATATAAGCGCCTGATCGCGTCAAAAGGATGCCTCAAAGCATTTCACAGGATATTCTGTGAAATGGAGTGACTGTGTATTTGTAGGCGAACATGGCAGCAGCACACCTGTCACAGCAATGTCCCATAAACAGCCGCAAAATGAATGACCAATTTTGTTTTATGAGATCATTGGCCAGCGAACCAGGAGAAACTCCCTTCTCTTTTCTGAATAACACCATGGGATCTTTAACGGGACCTCGGTTTGCCGTCTCATCCGAAGCACTGCACTTCTGACAACGCTGCACTCCCCCAGCACTGCACAAGAGTATCAGCTTAGACTATGTGATTCCGTGTCCTGACGTGGGATTTGAACCCACAAATTTCTGACTCAGAGGCGAGAATGCTACCAACTGAGCCAAGCTGACACTCTGAAACTTATTCTGAAAGGATAATGCATTCCTTGTCACTTTACTGCTTTAACATGTAACTTCACAGTTGTGAGAATGAAATTGTAGTACGTCACAATACCAGCCATTCCCCACCCACTGGGCATAGTCCATTCAGGCTATTGTTGCATGAATGCCTCCTTGAAACCACTGCCACTTTATTGTGAAACAAGCCAACTGTGAAATTCTCAGTGACATTCTCGAGTGAGGACAGCTTAGGTCTCCTCAACCAACACGTCAACATATTCGGTGTTGTGAGTGTGAACGAGCCTGTCTGGAGTCAGGGCTGGGGGTTGAGATTCTGGGTTTCATTCACATTCATCTGGAGTGGGGGTGGGGGAGAACAATATCACTTACAGTCAATTCTCTCCGGCACCACACATGTGTCGTCGTAGTACAGCCGAGGATCCTTCTCATAGGGAAAACCTGAAAGAGGAAACAAATAGCAGGTTTTCAATGCACTTTTTAATCAGTTAGAGACAGGTGATGCCTCAGCAACAACGACGACAAATTGCACTTGTATAGCGCCCTTCACGTCGGAAAGATATGCCAGGGCGCTCAGACGCCTGTTCTGCTGGTAGCGTGATAACCTCAGTCATTGTATAGCATTCCGAGACCTCACCCTACGTAAAGGGCGCTATATAAATGCAAACTGTTACAACAGAGCTTTTTTAAAAAAAAATCCAGACAAGTTACTCCAGCAGTGGTTAGGCAGGTTCGTTCCTCTCTCGTGAGGTTCGTTCCTCTCTCTCGTGATTTGCAATTTGATGTGAAATAAAGTAGCATATTTAGAAAAAAAACCTCCCCATCCCAGCCATGACTTGCACCTGGCCTAGAAATGTGGTTTGTGAGCGATCATTTAGTTTCTAAATATATATATCAATTCGCTGCCTGCCTTGGGTTTTCAGGTGAATCTGCATCCGGTGTGACTGAGACACCGTCCCAGCACGTGCACTAGCCACAGCAGATAACACGAGGCAGGAACAGTGAGGCTGAAAGCAAACAGTGCTGTGCTCAGCAACTCAGGGTGGCAAACTATTCCGTTAAACCTTCAAGGCTCAAAAATACCCTTGCTGCACCTGGATTTTTCAATCAGATAAGTAGAGATTTCAGTGTATTAACAGCGGTGGGTTAATGAGCAATTTCTTCTCTGCCCTCCCATAGTTAATGTTGACACACTCGGATGGTTTAGATCCAGGAGTGAAACCAGTTTTGACTTGATCAAACATTTTTAATATAAAAAATGTGATTTCAGGTTATCGGCCTCTATGATGGAAGTGGAGTCTGAGAGGAAGAAAGAGAAATTATGAGATTTATGAGCACGACATTTCCAGGTTCTGTGTAATGAAAAGACTCTTCTCAACAATGAGCAACAGCAATCAGTTACAAGTGTAACAGACTGAAACCGGGGAGGAATATGGATAGTGTCCGAATGACTACTTCAGTGTCTTTGACCAGGTCCTTAAAATAAAATCGTACAATCCCGTCAATCAGGTTAAAGAGCTGCCTCGATAATCCCCCTTCGTGCAGATTTAATTCCAACAGGTGCCAGACCACATGAGCACTTGCAGGCGAGTCCCAATGCTTCCTGCCTTGGTGGCAGAACAACACACATTCTGAGAAACGTGGGTTATAATAATAATAATAATCCTTGCATTTGATATAGCGCTTTTCACGTCGGGAGGACGTCCCAAAGCGCTTCACAGAACACACTGTAAAGTGAATTGACTGTATATTTGTGGGCGAACGCGGCAGCCAATTGCGCACAGCAATGTCCCACAAACAGTCGTAGATTGAAAATGACCAATTTATTATTGTTTGGTTTTTTGGAGGGATTATTATTAGGCTTCTGGAGTAAGGAAACTTGCCCAAGGTTTCGCCCTCTGCCTGGAATTGAACTCAGGTCTCTCACTTGCAAAGCGAGTGCTCTAACCACTGAGCTACAGGACTCCACTGAGCTACAGGTTCACTCACCATCGTGGTTATTGGGACTGTAGTAACTTCCTCCTGTCATGTAAGAGGACTGGCAATTAGGCACTTCTGCAAAAAACCATAAGAAATAAAACAAATCATTAGAAATAGGGAACAAGAGCGTTAAGTAAATAGCATTGTGCGCCTGTGTGTAGTGATGACACGACCGACCGTGTTCAAACTCGTATCTGCGGCCAGACAGCCAGCACTGGGAATGAACGAGCACTTGGGTGAAGGCAGCACTGAGCAGACAGCTCACGTGGAGTCACTAGGACTCAGCGACTTCAGGAGAAAAGCAACAACAGATTAGTTTATTTCTTCCCCATTACTTAAGGAGCTCTCCAGATGAGAAAGTAACTCACACGGTGGGGGGAGGGGGGTAAACTGTTACATCAAGCAAATTAAAGTCAGCAGCTCATTCCTTTTTTAGGATGAAATTCTGAAATGGTTAATGTGCTTTAACTCACAAGCAGCCAGTGACCCACAGAGCTACAGAAGGAGGTTCAACAGAGAAGCACGTAGCGGCTCAGAGCACCAAGGGCAAGGTTAGGGTGAGGCAATCAGGGTCACGTAAAAATATCCACTGTTTCTTTACGGGGGTAGGAAAAGGGGTCACGGTGGGAGGGAGAGAAACACGCAGAAGGAAAAAGGAGCAAGAAGGAAAGCGGAGAAGAAGAGAAAAAGTGAAAGAATGAATAAATGAAGGATGAAACTGCTAGCCGGAATATATTTGGGTATATCTCCCAGTCTAGACAGAAAGTGCACAGTGTCCATTTGCCTGGAGCAGTACGCATGTGGATCTGAACTGCAAAGTGGACACAGTGAACCAGGAGAGCTGGAGCAAAGTGGCAGAGTTGGGGCTTGTTCACGTAAACTGGTGACAAGAAGTTAAGCCAGAACATTATTCTACACAGAGCCCAATAATAAAAATCCTTACAGTTACTCCTGCCTAACTCTAGTAAAAAATAATAGCCTTTGCATTTGATAATAGCGATTTTCACGTTGGGAGGGTATCTCAAAGCGCTTTGTTGGATATACTGTAAAGTGTAGTGACTGTGCATTTTGTGAGCGAAACCTATAAAATTTTCCAACTCAACTGGAACGTGTTGTTGACATGGACTCGCAAACAAATTCACCAGATATAAAACTGATGGGATTTCAGGAAGTGACCACAAGATTCATATTTGATCGACTTGCTGAAACCCAATATAGTCCACCTTTTAGCACTTTACATATTTGCAAACCACAGTTTCTCATAAAAGCCACCAGATCAGATTGGGGAACCAACGAGTTGATATTTTATGCCTTGCTGCGCATTGCCACTGACATTTACCTATAAATACAGTCACTGCACTTCTCGGTAAAGACTTGTGAAGCACTTGAGATATTTCGATGACATGATACATCAAATGCAAGGATTAATACTCTAAGTGTAAGACATGTGTTATTAAATTCAAGTTCTCTGCAGTTGATACGTGCAACTTGACGCACACTCAACAGGTAAGAGATAGGTATGAAAAAGCACCTCATCTACCTGCCATTCAATTCAATGTCATGTTATTGCCCATGAAATGACAACCCTTGCATTTGATAATATTACGTGGAAACGTCTCATAGTGTTTCACTGATAACCTCTGCAAGACTATCTGTAGGCAAACAAGACAATCTATTCTGGATAATTTTTTTAAGTTGGTGGGTCTAACCAATAGCTTTCAGTGGAAAAGGAGGAGGGGAAAAACACGGAAAAAAGGATAGGGGAGGGAAAGGAAAAGAATATTACATAAAACCATGACCTACATAAAACCCACTTCCCTGCTAAAGCCTTTGACACCGTTACATGTTGTCCTCTAGTCTTAAATCTTTGCCATCTGCCGGAGCTTTATTGCAGATCACCACTCCCTCCCTCCTGGAGGTTATGGTATTTTTAGGCCTAAGCTGATTAGAGGATTTTACGCTTACATCACAGAGCATCAAATTAACACCACTCTTGAAGAAACCGTTTTGCAAACTAGATAAAACAGCATGAAACTTCCTTCAGGGGGAATCATGAAATCAGGTGCCCAGCCACAGGCTGCTTTGCCAAGCAAGAGCACTCGGGTTGACGGAGACTCGAGCCAAGTCACCCCAGGTGAGGAGCACATCCGAAAGGAGCTGAGTATTATTCCATATGATGGGCTCGGTGGGTGTGTTCGTGTGCTGCAGGTGGAGCTAAGCTCAAAGCCAACTCCTAGGCCAAGACTATGGTACGAGAGGTTTGTTGTGCTTGAATCTGTCGAGCAGCCTCTATAAATTAATACATGACAAGCCAACTGAGGTACAATGCTGTAGTACCAAATCCCTCAGTGGATCGTGTCAAAAGGCGATGAATAATGCATAATACAACACCCCCGCCAGGACACAGAAGAGGAACAAGGAACGAATTTGTTGAAACAAAAAAAAAAAACAGCCGTCACCCGATAGCTAAAATTCACATTTCTCTCCTCTCCCCCAACAACCTCCATTTATATAGACTCAGCACAGGTCACATTGCTTTGAAGGCATCTGCTTTCACAAGGATAAGACTGACCTGAGTCAAAGCAGTAGTCTCTTGGCTCCTGCTTGATGCCAATGGCGGGGTGAAAATTGGTTCTGTTGGGGCCTCCGAGCGCTACAGCCCTGTGGTCATAACGAGGGTCGTGGTACTCCTGCTTGAAGTCCTGAAGAGGTGCCGAGGGAATGGGCTCGGACATTTGTCTCTGGTAAACTTGCCGGCTGTCATTGGAGATTCCTGACTGGGGTGGGTACTGGTGACATGGTTCGGACATCTGCCGCTGAAACCTTTAGGAAGAACAAGAAGGGTCCAAGTCAGAAATGCTCATAAGCATTGTTCTTAGAAGCCAATCCATGAAGTCTACCTTAGGCCATCGAGCAGACTGTTAGCTTATTTTCAAGACCGATAAAGGAGGACACTTTCTGCCCGCAAGTTCAGCTTTGGTTTCCTCTGTCTCTTCCCACCGATTAGGTTTCTAGATTTGGACTAATGGTGAAACCAGACACATTTGTGCTGAGTAGCAAATACAACACAAATTTACATTTATTTTGTGCCTTTCACATTGGGAGGATGTCCCAGAGGGCCTAACGGTAAAGGCTGGGCACCCGAGCTGGGGATGGTGCTGGGGGGCCAGGGGGGGAGGCGGAGAGGAGAAAGGTGACTGAAAGATCATTAAAGAGACAAATCTTAAACATATCAGCAATCACAAGACAGCTGACTTCCACAAAAGTTATTACAGGAACAGACTCGAGCTGAATTGTTCAAAAGCAAAGAGCCTGCACCTTCACGAGAGGAGGGAAGAGAATTAGAGCGAAGGGGGGAGTTTGACGATGAGTGAAAAGATCACTTTGACTTAAATTGGTTTGAAACGCGGAGATATTCTGCATTGGGCGCCAACATGAAAACAGGGTTGGAAAGCTTATATAAAATTGGGCTCTTAAAACATCTAGTTACTGAGATAGCCTTTACTACCCCTTCCCCCCAACTCACACACATCCACACTCCAATCCTGTGAGTGCTTTCAGCTGCCTTTATTCTGTGTGTGGTTCACAGGTGCTCAGTCAAAGCCACACTGCTCTCAACCCATGGGAGACTGACTGACTGACATCAGGGGACAAACGTGTTCATTGGAAAGGCTTTTAGACTAAAAATCCTTACATTTGACAGAGAGGTCATATGGGGAGGACTTCTGAGCAGGATATAATGTAAAGTGCATTTAGTACACTATTGTAATTGGGCAATTTCCGGTCGACAGACAACAACACAGGAGAGCATCCTGGAGCACAGACGAGACTTGGATCCTGATGGCAGTGCTATTTTTAGTTGGTCTCAGAGAGAGAGATCAGCCCAAGTTCTTAGCCCCTCTCTTTGCCCTCCCGCTCCCCCTCCTCCCCCACCCCCAAAGAATCATTTAGCACCTTGAAAGGCGATCACACATAAATCAACCATTTCCAAATCATCAGGGTCCCCAGCACCATTTGCAGTGTAAGGTGATCCTTCACAGCTGACTGCGCTGGATTATTCCATTTCCACTTCGGATTGACCTGACTGCCAAGCTGAAATCTATAGCACGCCGATATGCCTGCATCGGAAAAAAACACTTCCAGATGGTTCAGAGCCAGCGTCCCAAGCCAATCCCAGAGCAAGAGTGAAAGAGAAGAGTTGTGGGAAGCAAAGGCGACTGAGGAATCAGGTGCTACTTGTGGGAGTAGCTGTTATATAAAAAAAACTACTGGATGGACTTAATACTGGATATATCCATGCTATTTAGGATTCCAGCAGGTTTTAATGTTTTTTTTATTCCATCCCACTCCTCAAAATAACCCTGTGTGCAACCCCATTCGCACATCGTAAAGTTGTTTGACCTTAAATAAAGAAATAAAATCCTTTCTCTCCCTGATGAGGCCATAGGAGGCCGGCAGAAAGGGGAGAAAGGGAAGGGGGTGGGGAATGAAGGGAAGAGCGCAAAGTAACTACAAGAATCCACGACAGATGGACCAGCCATAATTTAGTATAAGCTCTGAAACTCATCTGCTCACTAAACAAGGCAGTTTGGTTTTAATTGACAAAAACACATGGATGATAAGGTTAAATTGACGACAAAAGCTTTCCACGCAGAGTTGGCGGTAGCACCCTTTACCCTACACAAGGGGACCGTTTCTGCACCACACTCTTTGAAGGTCGGGTTGACTAAGTGAACGGCGGGGGTGACGAAAGAGATACTGCGCCAGTTTGCACTCTTCGCTTGCGCATCGAGCGAATAGAATACCGAGCAAGATCAGGTGGTGCCAAGGATCACTTTACCCAGTAAACAAGCAACTGATCTGAAACCGGCGGATCTCAAGGTCAAGCGATTGTGCAACTGAGCCTTAATATCGGCTCTCAAACAAATTGAAATCAGTGCAATAAATGATGCTAGGTCTGGGTCCAGTGCTGGCATTTGCCCATCTCTTACCTGTGTTCCTGTGCATACTGGGACTCAGTCACAGCCTGGGGCATCTGCAGTGTGGGGTGGGGAGGACGAGGTATTGCAAAAGTCTGCTGCTGTTGCTGAGCTGTGGCGGAGGCTACAGTCCGTGGTGGGGATGGGGTAGGAACATGAGTTGAGGCTGACACTGTAGGAGGGTGAAGAGGAGGGAGAGCGGAGTTCTGGTGGATTGGGGAGATGGGGGTGGCAGGAGCAGCTAATGGCTTGAACCCAGCGGAGGGCTTCCTATCATAGGCACTGTAAATTAGAAACAAGAAGCACCGAGGATTAGAAACCTCGCTAAGCGCTCAGTTTGCACATCTTTCCCTTTGCGTTGTAGATTAGCCGCGGAACACAGTTCAGATGTAAAATGTGACACAATGCCGTAGAGAGACGCTGGTTGCAATAAGTAATGTAAAACGATACACCTTCAGGAAAATTCCACATCACCCAATATTTATACACATCTATCTTATAAAGGCCATAATTACTTCACTGCAGCTTTGTGTACTTGTGTAATTCTGGTGGTTTATTGGGGTTCAAACCTCCTAAGGATAAAGGAAAGGCACAAATGGTTGTACATGACTATAAATTGTCTTATTGCAAACTGCTCTTCAACTTCCTCTTCTCCTCTCCTGAGACAGTAATTGCGAAGCAAAGCTGTGAACACCAGAGTTCGTCCAGGACCTTGCCCTCATCCACATGGGCAACATGTGTATAGCAGGCATCAATCAGCGTGCTACATGAGCACGACAATGGTAGTGAGAGGTAGGGGGAGGGCAGGGGGAAAGAGAACCAAAACACGGACATCACAGCTGAGTATACTCTTATTCTCAACCCTCCATGTCTGTGCATAGGCACCCACACCCATCTTTCCAGACATTTTTTTATTGCAGTGGAGCTCTGGCCAATATACACCTCCCTAGCCTAAGGTGCTGAGACTCATTGTAGCAGCCTCAGCATTCCTTTGGCTAAGATCAGCCAACACAACAGAGATCAAAGTGGGGACTTTCCTGGTTTATCTGGCTCAATACCAGTGCAGTATTAAAAGCACATGAGTTCTCTGGTAATATACTGCAGTCATATTACAACAAAACCAAGTGCGGAGAGAATGGATTTGTAATTTACTGCAGTGAAGATGACTTTTTAAATGTTATTAAAGTGCAATGCACGCTCTTCAGTGCATCTGTCTGTACTCCTTGTGATCAATGTTACACTACCTGACAGATATTCCCAATTTCAACTCAACCCTTTCTGCCCCCGCTCTGTGGAACTCCAACCTGGAGTCCCCACAAGTCCCTTATAATAATAATACTCCTTGCATTTGATATAGCACCTCATCACATCGTCAAGGCGTCTAAAAGTCTTTCACAGAATATACTGTAAAGTGAATTGACTGTATATTGACTTGTCATCTTGTTCAAGGTCTGTCTCAAGACCTACCTCTTTTGACTGTACTTTCGGTCATCTTTCCCCTCCCCACTCCCCTGTGCTCCGTGCCCAGCCAGTACTGTTAAGTGCTTTGGGACGTCCTCCTGACGTGAAAGGCGCAAATTAAATGTAAATTTGTTTTGTAAATCAGAGGCACAAACCGCGGCTACGGATTGTTTGACCAAATTTAAGAGCGGTTGTTCTAAACGTGAAAATGTTTGTATTGTAGGTACACAACGAGCACACTGAACAAAGGGATTTACATGGCGCAAAATAATCTGTTAAGCATGCTGTTAAGAGCGCTCTTCATTTCATGCCAATTATTCTCAAAAGCAGCCACCAGAGGGAGCATCCTGGAAAGTTAATGGGGTGGTGGGGAAGAAGGGAAGAGATAAGTAGAGAGGGGGGGCAATATTAGTCAATTTGGTGCAAGTTCACAAACGGATGCTAAAGTGCACCATCCAGGCAGGGGGTTGGGAAGGACAAGTGAGGGAATCTAACTGGCAAGAAGCAGACGTCAGGTGGTGTGTTTTAACACCTAAGGATTTACCCAAGTTGTGTATGGGGATGTCTTCTGGTGTACCTGTAGCTGTAGAGGCAGTTCTCTCCATAGCTGGAGCTGAGATTCTGCTCATGGCGGCATGACACATCTGTCCTGGGGCTGAGGGCTTCTCGCTTGATCTTCCCTGGGGGCGGACCGTGAAACACCACTGAAATAAAACAAGTTTACATTGTAACTCGATCTGCAGACAGCGACAGATGAGGCACCAAGATAGACAGTGACAAATGCCTGCTAACCAGGACATGAATAGGATGTGTGTGTGTATATGTGGGAGAGGGGGGAAGGTACTCATAATTGTCACACGATTAGAGGTGGGGGGTGAGCAAACTCTAAACAGTCTTGTTATTGACACTGAACATTTTTACAGAGTGCTTTGAGAGGTGGCGAAAAGAATCAAAATGATAACACAGTAAACCTCACACAAGTCTTACATTTGATATGACTTATGTAAACTATGAGTTATGTCAAACTTGCATAGAATATAAACTCTTGAAAGGGACTTGGTCTGATGTACGTTTCAGGCGATTATATGATTTCTACAGATCAGACTTATGTGAGTTTTATTGCATAAATGACAAACTGTGATTAATATCAATGTTTTTACTGTAACAAATCCAGGAGGAGGTCAGTACTGGATTCACACCCTTCGTTTTTCCCTTTATCATTATCCCACAATGAATAACTTCAAAAATCCAGTCGCAAAATGGACACCGGGCAACTACAATATTTTATACGCGGCATCGACTATATTAAACACCTTGGTAACTGCAGAACACTGGGTATCTGTCTAGTGGGTACAATTCTCACACTGTGTTACACCAGCTTCAGCACTTCTAACTGTCCTGCTCCAGAGCTCGAGGTTTACTGTTTACTGTGAGGAAACAAATTTTCTCCGAGAGAGTGAATGGAGGTCACAGAGGCTCTGAGAGCAACAGACACTGACCCTTACACCTTGTGGGAAAGTTAATGATCTCGCTTGGCTTGAATTTCACTTTGTGGGGAGAGATTCCAAGCCTTCCCAGGGAATGCGAAAACTTTCTCGAGATATCTCTGTCACCTGCAACCAGGCAGGTTTACCAGGCAATCCATACACTTCTTCACAAGCCAAACACCCAGGGGAAGCAATAATACACATTAAAGCTGGCGATTGGTTTGATAAAATGTTGGTGACATTGTACACTAGTTATCAGAAGGAATTGCTACGGCTACTGTATTTAGCAAGCAGTCCTGGAGTGTAGAGGGGCAATGCCTGGTTACTTTAAGTGTGCCAGAAGACATTGCATTTTATCCTAGCATTTGATATAGCTCCCTTCACATCAGGAGGCACTGTTTCATGTATCAAAGTGCTTCACAGGATTTGGTGGATCGCCTTCCAGGGGGAATCCTTCCAAAATAAACTAAAAAGTAATAATAATTTGGTCACTCAATCCACGCGTGTTTGTGGGACACTGTTGTGTGCAACTGGCTGGCACGTTTCGCCCACAAAATACAGTCACTTTAAAGTGTATTCTGTGAAGTGCTTTGAGACATCTCGAAGATGCGATAAGGCACTATATCAAATGCAAGGATTATTATTATTACTGTAAAGTGTGATGACTGTCGTCTCATAGGTGAACACGGTAGCCAATTTGAGCTCACCAGTTTTGCAAATCGTCTTTTGATAATTTCACCCATGAAAAACGGAAGCAGGGCGTTGCCAAGTCTAAAGATTCAGGCCAGTAAATGTGCCGCATTTTTTAAATCGCACAATAAACAACCTCCACAAAAGTACATCTTACTGGCTGGTACACTGTAGCCATGGTGCGATCCACATTTGCTTGTGAAATAAACCCACGACCTCAGCAATTCCAAAGGGCCAAAGCTTAGATTCTCCTCCAGTTCCACCAGTCTGCTATTTACCAAAGCGTATATACGTAACAGTTCAGTCCCAATTGTTCCCACGATCATTTCCTTTGCAAGCTTAAGAATCCTCACAAAGCCCCTGACTGGGACCGTAGCTAACATGGTCACAGTTGCAAATGGCACTTACTTTTGTAGCACAAAAGGTTGGGTTGCACTAATCCCACTCCACGACTGCATCGCTCACTGAGTACGACTGTAAATAGTGGTGTATTTAGTTCCTGTACAAAGTGAGGGTGTGGAGCGGAAGTTGAGGTTTACATGTTGGATGGGATGTTTGGGTGGGCGCTAAAGATCCATGACATTATTCCAAAGAGAAGTAAGTTTTGCCTCCTACCCTGACCAACAAGCTTGCAGATCAATTGCTCGTTCATCTCATAGCTGTTTGCAGGACTGTTTTTAGCTGTTGCGTTTGCCTACAAAAAGAGTCACTGCACTGGACTCTAATTATTGGCATGAAACACTTGCAGACATTACGATATGATGAGGCGTTATAAAAATTGCAAGTTATTTGTTTCTATGAAGTCACTGCACTTTGCAGTATATCCTGTGAAGCACTTTGGGACGACCTCCCAACTTGAAAGGCGCGATGCCAAGGTAAGGATTATTATTGTGCCTACGAGACTGTTTTGGCTTGAGACTCGTTGAGACTTAGCAAAAATAAAAATGTGCCTGGAAAGGCAAACTAGGATCAACAACAACAACAAAATTACATTTTATAGAGCGCCTTTCACGTCCGGAGGACGTCCCAAAGCGCTGAATCCCACCTTAACACTATCCACCATGGACAACTGAGATCGAAAGCTTTTAGCTGTTATACACCAAATACGTCATTGTGCCAGCTCCACTTCGAGACTGCAACTTGGAAATCGCGCGAGTCATATTAAATGTCATGGGCCCAACTGATACGACTTACGCAAGTTTTACTTTACATGTAGTATTAAAAAAAAACTATCAATTACATCTCACTGGAAAGCAAATTAGTGTGTTGAACTTTTGGGAGGAGAGCAGTCAAACAACAGCAGAGCCTGTTTGTGCTGGCTGAGCCTTGTTAGTGCCACAGAGATGTAATCACTCCGGAAAATCCGCAACCACTGCTAAAGCTCACAAGAGTGGCTCCAGTCAGACCCACAGAACACACTGCACTGTAGGCGATGGCCTGGGGCTAATTGCTTCCATCCATCCCTTTCTAAGCAGATGATGCAACGGTTCAGGATGGGATAACCTCCCCAACAGTTGAATAAGCCGATAAGCCTCACTAACCCAGCTGGTGTCTGACTGCAGGAATTTAACATCAGGCTGTGCAAACTAAAAAACGTTAACAATGACCAGTGCAAACAGATGGAAGATTATAATCCACGTAGAATAGAACCACATACTGTATCCTGAAACATTTATTTTATGTTAAAATAACATTGTACTTTTTTTATATGCAACAACAACAACACTACATTTGTATAACGCCTTTCACATCAGGAGGATGTCCCAAGGCGCTGAGCAGTCTGTGTTTCGGACTTGAGCTGGGGTTAGGAGATCGTGGGGGGGGCAAGGCCACGGAGGGCTTTGAAGGTGAGGACCAGGATCTTGAACAGTATCAGTGGAGTCTGGCGAGAATGGGGGTGATGGGGTCACGGAGCCTGGTGCGGGAGAGGACACAAGCTGCAGATGCAGTATGTGAAATGGGCAAGAAGAGACCAGGTTTGAGCAAACTCGCTGCTAAACTTATCGATCTTAAGCATAGCATCATTTTCAGTAGGCGATGTGGGTTCAGACAACTCAAGACAGGTCACTGGGCTATTTAACAAGATTTTCCAATAGGCCTCTTGGAGAGCAAAAAAAGATTCCTGATTACCCTGAATCCACAACCTTCACTCTACGCTCACCTTGGTTTGTTTTTCACATGTTCCTGCATGATCAGATGCCATGGGAAGAAAACATTCAGCAAAAAGACTAACAGCAAGCCCCGCCTGCCATTCATGATCAGTTGACTCCCTGTTCATTCACAAATAACAGTACTGGTGTTCCAGTATATGGACAAAAAGTAGAGTTTCTTTGCTGCAAAACATTCGACTTATCCAGAACGAAAAGGCTACCACACGTTTCGAAAATACTCTGCAGTTAATTTTGCAATCGGTCGACACGGAATGCTTTCCACACAAAAGCTATGGCAATATTGCAGCAATTGATTTACAAGCATGAGAATGACCTTCTCATGTGGCAAACACCAGAAAATACACACACACGCATATCAGTTTCCTCTAAGCCTGGTAACTGCAAACATTTGCATCAGAAAGGGCACCACATGTGATTCACACAGGCAATTACACAGCTGAAGCATTCATGGCATAATAAGGGGTTTATTATCCTTCCCGATCCTGAAACAACGGTCTTAATAAGAAGAATCCTTGCATTTGTGGTAGTGCCTTTTCACCTCGTCGAGAGCACTTCACGGGAGTTTACTGTAAAGTGTAGTGTAAAGTGCAGCCTTCGTAGGTGAACGCGCTGCCAATTTATGCACAGCAAAATCCCTCAAACAGCCATGCAGTGAATGGGCAATTCCGTTTGGTACTTTGTTTAAGAGCATAAAAAGGAATGTGTTCCATTCTCCAAAACGCATTTTGGACCACAAGAGTTTTTAAAGATCTGACCTAGAACGTTTTCACCAGCAGATCAAATAATACTCTATTGACTATTGAAGCAACAGTTGGAATTGGTCTTGAGGGGAGATGGAAGAGAAGGGAAGATTCTTCAAGCCAGGTTAATGAGCGGTCTGTACATTAACTGCACTGGAAATAAAGTTTGTTTGCCAAAATGTCATTCACCAAGTCAGGAGCGCTCTCACTTCAGAAAGCTCAATGCACCGTGAAGGGACAACCAGCGGCTGAGCTGAGCTGCACAGCGCGAGAATGTTCATTCGGATATTACTGGTACATTTCCACAAGTAAAATGCAGCTCTTATTACGCTCAATTTCTGACACCTTCTGTGCGTGGAGGCTTCATGTGAGAAAATGAGACGCACTCTGGAAAGTTTCCCAAGCCGCGTTAGCATGTACTCTTTGCACAAACAACTTTTTTTTCAAACAAAAATTCTTTGCTTTCTAAGGCTTTGCCTGCGATCATATCAAATTATCAATGAAAAGGCAGTGAATGGGGTTGGGACAGCCAGTATTCTGAGCATTGCTGCTTTATGCGAAGCCTACAAGACAGGAGGAAGAAGTTATCTGCTGATAAATGCAGGCTTAGCTCCAGGTACCAACTCTTCACCCACTGTAATGATTAACATATAAAGACCTGGATTATAATACTCAAAGGTAATGTGATGACCGTTGACTAATAACGTTTGGAGGGAATCGTTTTAAACTAAGGCTGTTATAGCTCGAGGCACGTGGTTTCTCTAGATTGGACATATTGTACGCTGAAACCTCAGATTCAAACCAAATGTTCAGGATCAAAGTTAAGACGCCTAGTGACATTTGCGACTGAAGGGAGCAGGCCAAGCCAGCAGCTGAGGGCACTGCAAACTGGATCAGTAGTTTAACTGAAGCCACATTGAAGCAAACTGTAACAAAGCTCTCAAGCCCATCTCCCACTCCTAACATTTGAAAGTTGGACCATCCTAGTCATCCATTAGTGCAACATCTCATTCTGGTAGTGATATTACAAACAAAACGTAGGAAAAAGCTGCCTTGAGACATTGCACTAAAAACGGTCTTTACCCTTTCTGTGCTGATCCACAGTTGCATTTGGATAGCGTCCAAAGAAACTTTAGCAATGCACAATCACACTGGGTGGATTCAGCCTGGTTGAGAACATAGCTCTTCTCTATATTTCTCATTAAAAAAAACAAGGTAAATCTCTGCGGTAATTCACATTTACAATGTCTAATAATGCATTTCCCCATGGCTTGCGTAGCATTGCACCACTTTAACCTCATCCCTTTTATCTTTGCATTTTGCTCCCAGTTAATAACCTCAGAGATGCTTCTGCCATCATTTGTTAGGCGGCAGCTTATGAGGCTGCGGCTGATCTACAGTTGGATCATAAAGCCATGGTTACAATCCGAATTGGATTGCGACGTGAAATAGAAAAGCAAATCAACAACCATGGGCCGCTCTGTACACTAAGCCTGATCAAACTGCAGGGTCACGTGATAGGTGGGAGGGTGCTTCTCAGGATAGACTGAACAACAGCTTAAGCTGGAAGTCCATCCTAAAGGAGGGAGGCAAACACTGTCCACCAGTCAACAAAACAAAAACAACTTGGGTTTATAGTGTCCTTCATGCAGGATAGCGTCTCAGACTGCTGAGCCTGAACAAACCCTCTCCCCTTCCAAATTACTGTGGAATTTTTGACTTATTTTATAGCTATTTTAAATTAAGAAAATGTGCCTGTTGTTATTTCGTACTATGCTTGTTTATAGTTGCTTTTGAATGAAAGGCATCCTGCCTGACCTGAGGCAGCGTTATCCACTGTTTAACATGTGGTGAGGCACGATTTGGGGAGTAGAGGGCAATATTACTGATTGGTTTGAATGTTTTAGTGTAGAGACACAGAGAAATAAAACAGGCACTCGTTTTCCCGTTACATTTTCTATTACAATATTTAACACACATTAGTATTCTCTCCCAATATGAATATTTAATATTTTGCATATGATTATTGCCCGGTTCAATAAAGCTGAATATGACTAATATCATATCATTCATGACTGCAACTTCTCTGAACTAACACCTCTCTATCCAACAACAACTTGGATTTATATAGCGCCCTCCACGCCGGACAGAGTCTCACTATATCCACTATAATAAGACCCCTTGTAATAGTGTCCTATTGTGGTAAACCTTACCACAGAAAGGAAACAAAGCACTTGTAATAGGAAGCAATCCAAAGGCCAGGGGGTCATGGTGACGAATAGTGCATAAAGTAGATGCATTTCAGCCACCACTCCAGACCAGCTCTTGATCAGTACCCGGCTCATCAGATCAAATGGCCACTGTCTCCAGGGAGCAGCTCCCAGCGGTGGACTGACCCACCTCCAGGTAGGTCCCTGGAGTTTGTTTGTTCGTGCTTAGCAGCTACGGAAGAGTTAATCGCCACGTTAACAGGAAACTAATAAATCTAAACAAGACACAGCCAGAGGTTCTTGGCATTGTGCCGATCCCCCAAAATAACAAGCTAGTCACATGGCAGTTAGAGAGAGAGGTGAGAGAGAGAGAGAAAGGCATAATTTCCTTATGTGGCTGCAGGAACCAGCAATTAAAACATTTGCATCCTCCATTGGGCTTATAAAAACTCATTCATGGGCGGTACAATGATTCCTGTGACAGAACCATCCTGGGAAAGAACAACAGTTTCTATCTGAATCAGATTTCAGCAATCTTCTGACAAGAGTGCTGTTCAAAAGAAGAAACAGAGGGAGCAAACAGACGTTGCATTTTCAGACTTTCAGAGAAAGGAAGCGGGGGATGGGAGAAGTGATTTATAAAACCATAAAATACACCCCTTCTTAGATCAAGATGCTGTGCTTGCATTTCCTCCCCAAGGCAATATGTTTCTAACCCTCTCCTCTCCTGAAAAGGGGGGGGGGGGGTGATCCTATGGGTACTAACAACCCTTGGGTACCTCATCCAAATGTCTGTTTTATTATTGCCAGCGAGCCTCAAAGCCAAACCTAGGACTACCTTGAGGTTACTGGATAAGTAACCCCTGCTAATTCCCTCTATTTTCTGGACGTCAGACTAATTGTAGAACACCTTAGCTGAGACTGGCTAACTCGTCATGGAACAGTGATCAGATCTGCAATCTTTCTCATCTGCTCAACTCAGTGCCATCAAATACAGAAAATGCAGAAAGTATAATTCCTCTTACAAACTCCAATCTTGATCACTTTGTTGAGAGCCATTTATCACAAATGTATTACAATTGAACCCATGACACTCGTTATAGCTTTACTTCACCCTAACACCACACAAGGGTTATTGAAAACTATGTGTCCAAAATGAAATCTAGGAACTAAAAATCATTAGAACTTGTTCCCTCCAATAATGACCCATCCAACATGCTTAAACAATACACATTAATTCTGGTCTTTCATTATCTCTAAATACAATTATAAATATACTAATTCTTACATTTGATATAGCTCATTGTCACGTCGTTGAGACGTCTCAAAGCGTTTCACAGAATATACTGTAAAGTGAATTGACAGTATATTTTGTGGGTGAAATTTTGTGCAGTATTTTATTCAAGGGCAACTCCATTTTTAATGAAAAAAGTCACATTTCCCGAAGGTGGGGCAAATCTAAAAGAGCAAGACAATTTTAAAAAAGTCTCTGCTTCATGACAGTATCATTTGTTTTAATGGTTTCAAACAGTCAGCCTGATGAGATCAACTTCAAATAAATGGCACTTGAATAACATTGAAAACAGCACAAAACCCCAACTGCACTGCAAAAAGATATTTAAAATTTGCAATTGCAATACTGCCTCAGCTATTGTACTGACCCACTTTCCCTTACTGTTTCAAAATGGTTAGTCGTGCTCCGAGGCAGCTGTTGTAAAATCTTAGGAAGCAATTTGTCATGAAGGGGTTAAATCTGAAACCTTTCACTTGAGGCTGCAGTATAGCGGTGACCGAGCGATTCACAATAAAACACCGGCAAAAAAATCACTCACAGTTAGCCGACTGGAAGTCTGGGACAAACTGTTCATCTTCTTCAGGAACTTGGGCTGCAGGACGGGAAAAGAAAAGGATCAATCAAACATCTGAAAGCACTTCAATGTGTTCTTCTGTCCGTTCTGTATAGCATCATAGAATCCTACAGCACTGAAGGAGGCCATTCGGCCCACCGTGCCGGTGCTGGGCTATCCAATTAGTCCCACTCCCCTGCTCTTTCCCCAGTCTTGCAATTTTATTTTTTAAGTACGCATGCGATCCCTTTTGAAAGTCATTATTGAATCGGACTTCCACCACCCTTTCAGGCACCTCATTCCAGATTCGCCCACAAACATACGGTCAGGTCGGGTCACTTTACAGCATATTCCATGAAGCGCTTTGAGACGTCTCGAAGGCGTGAAAAGGCGCTCTTATCAAATGCGAGGATTGTTATCGTTATTATTGTTGTTATTGCATTCCGGGTTCCGATGAGATGTAAAGAGGCTCATTGCGGTGTTAAACACCCGCCAGCTTACCTTCGGCGAGCCACGTTTCTTGCAACTGACTCAAATCCTGGAAAAGTTCTGAAATGCAAAACAGATGGGACTTAGAAACAGATTCCCAGTGAGCCTGAACTTGCGCACAGTTACAACTTCAGCCCCGGAAAAGGCTGATCACTTTGGATCAATACCAGCCAGGCTGAGCCGCGATCCACCGCCAAATTACCTTCTGAATCGTGGGCGAGATCGGTCTCCACGAATTTCCTTTTCCTCTCGTTTATTTGACTCCCGCGAAGTTCTTCTAGACGCGTTTTCTAAAGAGGAGACACGGTGGGGGTGGGGTGGGGGTGTGTGTGGGGGGGGGGGGGGGTGGGGGGGTGGAAGAGACAAAAAAAACAAGAAAAAAAAGCTCAATAAAATCTCCCACGTTGCAAACTCCTCGAAAAGACCTGAATTGATACAATCTTTATATGCACACACATATATATACATATATATATGTACACACACACATATGTAAATAAAAAAATCTGATGGGATTTGCAAAAAAACAAATCCAACAGCAAATCCTGCGACTGGATTTGATTTTTTAAAAAATATATGTACATATATAATATATACATATATGCACATACACACACACACACAGAGAGAGAGAGAGAGACAATCTCAAAACCATCCACAAGCAACAAGAATAAGCGATGATACTTCGTGCATTTGACTTACATTGTGCACCAACAGAGGAACTTGTTGGTCGTAAAATCCGTCCATTTTGCAACTGATCCGATCTGATCCCTAAAGTCCTACTAACATGGACTCGGCAGAGATCTGGGTTTGTGTTTGTTACTTTCTCTGTGTTCTCTGTGACTCCGCCTGAGAGAGGGAGAGAGGGGAATTATGAATGGGAGGGAAGGAGGGAGAGAGAGAGAGAGAGAGAAGGGGGGAGGGATGGGGAGGGGGTGTGTGGCTTCAGGTGGGAACGTAACGGGATCCGAGTTCCCCATTCACAAAAAAATAGTCTCTGAGCCCCGCCAGCAACTCCCTCCCTCCCTCCCTCCCTCTCTCTCTCTCCCTCCTCCCTCCCTCTCTCTCCCTCCTCCCTCTCTCTCTCTCTCTCCCTCTCCATCAACACTTCCTACAACAACAATAAACTCACTCCTTCCTCCCTCAGCCTTTCGGGACTCGCGGGATCACTCACTCGCCCGAAACTCACTCACCGCCACCGCTTTTTTAACAACAACAACAACAACAAAAAAAAAAACACACACAGCAGAGAGGACTCTTCGCCCCACACACACACACACACACTGCACCGCACACAATGTGTGCGCAACAACAGCACAGACAGCGATCCGCACACACTCAGCCCTCTCTTCCCACCAATACACCCCCCACCACCCCCCACCCCCCCACACACCCCTCCCCTCCTCCTCCTCCCCAACTAAACCACAATCCGTGAAGAAAATGGCGATCAACCGCAGCCCCAGCAATTGCAGACAATTTTTACGTTTAGTTTTTCAGATGCAACACATTTCCCTCTCCTCTCCCTCTCCCTCTCCTCCTGTACACACACACACAACACACACACACACAAATAAACTTAAAACGTTCCCCTTTCTCCCCCTGTGCCCACTCACACGCCGCCGGGTCTCTGCTGCCGACACCTCTGCAATTGAGACGAGGTGTTCCTTACCTTCCTTTCCCGACGTCTTTCTTTGACAAACGGGAAAGAATTTGCAACAATGCACTTTTTTGTTTCTTTTTTTTTTGGTTTTTAAGAAAAAAAACGGTGAAGGAGTATTTCCCCCCTTTCTCTCTCTCTCTCTCTCTCTCTCTCCCACTCCCCCCCACACACAACCCAACCAACAACCACCACCACCTCCTCACTCACTCACTCCCTCACCCACACACACAGTCACTCACTCACTCACACACAGACGCGCACTCGCGAGTCGAGGGGAGGGAAAAAAAAAGTTGAATGGGTTTTCCACTCAGTTCTTTGCCCCGGAGGCGGGGCCAGCGCTCGCCGCTTCCTGATTGGCTCACGGGTCTGACCGGCACCGCCGCGGGCCCCCCATTCATAGAATCAGTGGCTCGGCCAATGGGAGGCCGCGGCGCCGGGACGGGGCGGGGCGGCGGCCGACTTCGCCACAAACACATGAGCGGCGACCAATCGCGAGGCCCGGCGGCCGCTGGAGTGACGGCGGGAAACCGCCGACGCGTTTCATTCACGAAAAGGACCCGGTCGGTCAGGCCTGAGTGACTGCGCCATTGAGCACAGAGAAGGAGGGAGGGAGGGAGGGAGGGAGTGGTGATCGCACTGCTCTGTGCTTTACAACAGAAAGAGCCTGGTCCTATCTGTGCAAAGTCACACACACACACACACACACATACAACACACACACACACATACAACACACACACACAATACACACACATACAATACACACACACATACAATACACACACACACACACAGCAAATTTAGAACAACGCCAAATAATTAGTCAAGAGAAAAACTTTTAAGTTTGCTCGCCCTCTCCCCTTTTGCAGGAGCTCGTTGCTCGCGTAGAGGTTTTAAAATGGGAGCAAAATCCCCCCACCTCCCCGCCCCCGCCCGCCCGCCCGCCCCCCCGGCTCGCTGCCCAAGAGTCGCTCAACACACTTCGGAATTGCTGAACGGCGGCGCGAAAGCGAATGGTTCGCTTCGAGCGGACAAAGCGGGATGATCGGCGCCCTCGGGACACCGCCACTGCAGCCAGAATCGATCGACGCTATAAATAATATGCATTTAAGGGTTTTCAGTATTCGGGGGGGAAAATTAAAATTAAAGCGCCTAAAATTTTCGGCTGCCACGTCAAGTCTGACCGATCATGAGCAACAAGAGGGTGAAACGGCCCGCACTGCTGATCGACGTTGTCAAAAGTGGTGTTGCAGTTTGTGTCCTCTACAACCCACCTGGTCTTTCCCAGAGAAATGTGCCAATCACTTAGATTTATCAGACTTCTCAGCAAGTCATTCGCAGCAAGTGCAGGCAGTATTCACTCTTGGAGAGCGACCTACAATTGCAGCAGTCAGTGAAGGAAGTCAGGAGAACGATATTATCAGGCTCCTCTCTCGACTCTCTACCCCCTCTTCGCTCCCTCCCTTCCCTCCCCTCACCCTGACCGTTTCCCCCCCGCTCGGGTCCCGACCCAATTGTCCAGCGCCTTGGGATGTCCTCCCGCCCTGAAAGGCGCTCTATAAATGGAATCTTGTTGTTGTTGAGTCGAATAGCTTGTGGCTAATAGGATGTCAGAGTAGGAGGCTCCAGTGAAACAGCAGATAAGGCAATCAAGAAACGTAGAGGCGCCCCGAAGAGATCAAGTGAAGAGTAACTTTTCTCAGCCGGATCGTGATGGGTTGTTTACTTTCCCGTTTCCAATGATGGCACGAAGCCTGGACAGGCACCGTTGTCCTTAACTCTCTTTTTCATTGTTGGAGCTTGATGACTCTATAAAAACAAGACATTAAGCCACATGGCAGAGACAATCATTTACTGTAGTTCAGAAAAATAATAAGTCTCACTGCTTGATTTTTTTATTGTCTGGAAATGGCGGGGTGGGGGGAATTTATATAGAGCCAGTCTCAGAAAGCAACATCAGCAGTGTGGGAGCTGACGATGGGCCGAATAACTTTTTCAGTGCCCTAAACTTTCAGTATTCCTATCACTTTAGAGAGCGAGATTCTCCTGGTGTCCTGGCCAACAATCACCTCCTTCCCTCCTGTATAAAAAAAAGGTCATTGGTTTCATGCCTGATGGTGGGTCATTGCTGTGTGTAACTGGTTGCCACGTTCGCCTACAAAACACAGTCATTCCGTTTCACAATAAATCCCATCAAATGAATTGAGATGTCCTCCTGATGTTAAAGGCACTACACCAAATGCAAGGAATATTATTTATTATTACGATTATTATCATCTAGCACAAGATGCCTGGCCACCATGCCATCTGGTGGATGGTGCAATGAGGGATTGGCACTTCAGCAATGCTGTTTTGTCACTGCATTCTGGGGATGCAAGCCAGAGAGGTATCTGGGAAGGTCCACAGCCAGTATTAATGTCTTTATAACTGCTTGTGTGTTGGTGGCTGTTAGATATAGCTGTCAGTGCCTATAATTCCTCCCTGCAAAGTAAGCAGTGCAATTGCCAGACATTGGCAGCCATAGACTACTTAATCCACCTGAATTAGTTCTCAAATGATTTGTAAACTAGGGCTATGACTGAAGTGGTACTGCTTGTTTCATCACCGGAGGAGCACTTGTCTTCTGTTAAGTGCCTCCCGCTAAGGTATATTTGACATTGTGAAGGTGAATCTCTGCCCTGATGCACTTGCTCTCTCACAGTGACAATTTCAGGTAGCAGGAGAGCATTGGTCCATCAAGTCAACCCATCAAACCTTCCACATGTCTAACCCAGTATCAAAGAATCCCAGATTCTTCTAATTTTGAGGAAAGTATTTGGTTCCTTTTTGAAAACCTCTACAGCTCGTTGGTCCAGCTGTACTTGATGTTTATTCTGCAAGCTCTTTTAACAAAATGAATTCACTTACTATTTATTTTCTTTTGTTGGTATTTTGCAGCTTTCACGGCCATTTCTACTATTATTTGTCTATTTATGTGACCATTGCTGATATCTCTCAATTCTTCCATTTATTTCCTGTTCAATTGTTATCAAACCCTGGATCAGTCCATCCTTATTGTGTCTATTTGCTTCTATTGTTTCTATTCCTGCAATCTTAAAGTTCTCTTCTTCGAGAGAAAACTAAAGAAGCAGATAACACTGTTATATATTGGCTTGATTTTGAGCTGCCTTGGCCTCAGTCTACACTGGTGCAATCTCCAGTACTGTACAGTCAATCATCCTGTGTAGAATGAGCAATCAGTAACCATGTGTTGCTATGAAACTGAAAGCTAAATTAGATTTTAGTTTCCCTTAGGCACAGGCATGTAAACAATGGAGGAAACTGCTAAGGAACCAGGTTATGTGTATTCATTATTAGTTTCTCGCCTAATTCCTACTGTAAATAAGGCCAGTTGATCAATCCTGATTTATATGAGTTGCATCAATTTAACCTACAATGTTTAGTTCTCATAGACATGATGGTTAATAAACCTGCTGAGGTGCACAGATGTGTTTATACGTGTAAACTGTTTAACACTAGTTCTGTCGCGGTTTTGTTTTTCCCCGTGTTTACTAATTTCATTTTTGGCTTGTTTTTAGCAATTTTCGAGTGTTTATAAATTAGAGGCTTCAGGGCTTTCATTGCTGTATAGAGAAGAGGTGCCTCGCCCTCACACATGAGCAGTGTCTGGACTTGGAAGAACAAATAGTCACTGGAGACATGGAATCCTCCCACTCAAAGCCCTATAGGGTAGGGTGGTCCTAGCTGGAGAAGCAGCAGGAATGCATGCCACAGACCTTGCGGGATTCAAAGCTTCAGCCTTCTACTTGAATGAGAATAAAACACCCATATTGATATGACAGCTATAATGCTGAGACACCTCAAAGCGCTTCACAAGTAATTGCTGTCAAATGAAATGTGTACATTGGCAATGAAGTTATACACTGACAACCTTATACACGTGTGCAAAGTTTCAAAACAGCAGATCAAACATTGAAATTGGTTTTGTGACAAATACCATCCCATAACTCTATCACTGAGAGTTTAGAACCACTCTAATTCCTTCCGGTTACCCTGGTCTCAGTGTGTCACACACTTCAGCATCTGAAAGAGATAAGATACAGAGAGAAGAACCTGCCCTCTGGGCTGAACTCCTGCAATGGTTAAAGGAGGCAAGCAAGAGGGGCGTGAAGGCACCAAGCCACTTCCAACGTCTCTCCTTCTGTAGACGTGTACCTGGTCAGTACCAGACAGCTTGCCACAGCAGCATACATGAGATTGGGAACTGATCACAAGATGGAGGTCTGTCCTCTTCACAGGCACAATGATCAGCAGGCGAGGTGTGGTATCACATTGGCTTGGTTCACAGAGGACAGGAGATGTCTGTAGCCTGGGTTACCATGGACCTACCTGGCCCTGTCAGATGGGTCTTCTTTGGACTAGCTCACTTGTTGAATAACGTTTTCATGTCCCCCTCCCCCACAGCCTGGAACTGTCGCACGTGGCAGGAGCCGGCTCGCTCTTGGACACTTGGCATATAAATTGGAGCCGACAAGCCCGTAAAGGAAAGCGGGGCGGAGACGCAGGGTGCCTCGCGCGTACAGTTTTATAGCCTCGGCTTCGGATTGCTTTGATTCTTTTACGGTGGCAATAAGAGCGAGGCTGCCTTTGTCGCAGACCATCTCCCTTTTACTTTGCACATGGAACAGAACAAGTGAGGCTCAGCAACAGGCCGTGCGAACAAAGGTTCCTCTGTTGGCATAGCAACCCCACCGAGGCCACTGGTACTGCCTTGACTGAAGCTCTCTCAGACAATTCCAACGTCTCCCGTGCGTTCAAATGCAATTGAACAATTAACCCCCCGCCCACATATGTTTGTTTCCAAGGCACTCTTTAAGTAAAGGTCACGTCCATTACCTCAGCTGAGGTGTCTTTCTCAACTTGGCTACTGGATACCGGTCGGCATTTTGGGATCACTTTCCCAAGAGAAATGATCGGAATCAGAGGTGATGGACGAGGCTAATAAGAACACGAGAAGGCACGAGACTAGAAAAGGGCATTGGGTCCAATAAAGGAATGTTCCTCTGCAGATTCCAGACTGACCCACTCACCCACCCAACAGGGAAGATTTCAGCAAAGGTCCACCACGATTCCTCTACAAAATACACACTCACTACACTTCACAGTAAAACCCTGTGAAGCACTTTGAGACGTCCTCCCGACATGAAAGGCAACAATGTCAAATGTAAGGATTATTATTTTATTATTATGAGCTTGAAAGGTGATCCTGCAGAAATGTCATCAGACACAGACCTATCTTTATAACATTTTTATTGATTTTGTTTATCAGAATAGTTTTATGTAAGTTTTTGTTATCTAATCCACCACATGAACAGTTGGTTTCATTGCTGACTGAGCTGTGTGTTTGTGTGTGTGTGGATTGAATTGGCCATTTATTGAGCACTACAATGGTACAAACAAAGCTAAGTGTAACTTTGGATGGAAATCAGAAGCTATGGACATATCATGTGATATTATACAATATGGAGCAGGAAAGATCTTGGTACAATCTCTGGGCTGTGTAGAACAGATACCAGGAGATGTGGGTAGCTGAGAGAACAAGATCACAAGATTGTTTTGGGTGATTAAAGCCCTTAGGTCAATTTGATCTCATCCTTACAGAATAACCACTCTGCCAACTTCTCATTCCAGCTTTAATATATTTAATAATAATAATTATAATAATCCCTGCATTTGATAAAGTAGCTTATCACATCATTCAGGTAGACGTTAAACATCCCATGGCTCAAAAAGAGAGTTTCTCTTGGTGTCCCAGCCAGCAATCCCCCAAATAAAATTAGTCAATCACTCCATGGCTGATTGTAATACATTGATGTGCACAATTGGCTGTCACAAGGAGATTGAGGAAAAATGAACAGGTTCCACTGAATTTGAATATACAATTTATTCCATTCCTCTTTTTTACACTCTTTATAAAACTGATCATTTAAAAAATGCCGGGCAGCTTCATAAGGCAGTAAACTTCAATGAATCCTTTTCTTGCTCCCAGGCATTCATGAACTAAATTTAAATTCATCCTTCATTGTGCAATGGATATTTCCAACTGGAAATAAGGACGTGAATACCAAGACCTTTCCTTCCCAACAAACAACAAAACTTTCCGAGATCAGATGGATTGTGAGCTTTTCTTTGGACATAAACCTTTAAGGCAAAACACCAGAACTTTGGTTTATCTCATTATTTATTACATGCATCTTGACTCTGCACTGCACTGAACTTGTATTGGCCCACAAAATATACACTTTACAGCATATCCTGTGAAGCGCTTTGAGATGACTCAATGACATGATAAGGTGCTATGTCAAATGCAAGGATTGTTATTATTATTCAAGCACCACTTGCTTGCACATAGAAGGAATCCTGTACTATCAGTTAAGCTCCGGCTTGACAGCAAAACGAAGGTTTAAATCCTGCGTTCTCTCTTCAGTCATTTTAATAACTATACAAACTGTTTGAAAAGAGCTCAGCAAAAACTCATTAAAAGGAAACTTCACATGTGTACTGTTTGTTCGATGCATTAACTGTAAAACTACTCTGCCAGGAATATTACCATACTCAAATTTGTTACATCATCCATGGTTTACTTAGAAATCCTATAATCTGTTGGCTTTTAAGGTGCTTAGGGAGGAGAATCAGAAAACACTTTACATGTATTATGTATAGCAACCCTACCATTCTGAACTCATAACATTAGACTGAGCATTTAGACCTTTTTGGAGTATTTAATTGTGGAGATTTTCCCCTCAATGGATTGCTTGTGACTTCTACTGGAACTAAAAAATTATTGTTTTCTGTTTCCCCTGATAGCCTGGCTAAGTGGGTAAGGGTCTTGTTCCTTTATTACACAAGCCAGAAGGATGAAGTTCGATTAAACTTTACCAACCTAACCACTCTCAGCCTCTCTGCCCCGCCCCTCTGGAACTCCATCCTGGAGCCCCTCTACCTTGCCTCATTCAAGCACAGTCTCAAGATCTTCCTTTTCGACCATGCCTTTGGTCATATTTCCTCCTCCACCCCACTTGTCCTCCATCCCTCTCTGATCCCAACCAGCTCAGGTACAAACCTCATTGCCCAGCACCTTGGGACGTCCTCCCGATGCGAAAGGCACAATATAAATCCAGTTTGTTGTTGTTAATATCAGAACTTTCAAACAAGTCGCTACCTGGGAGTTATTAACATGTTGGCCACCTAACCCCATTATTCAGGTTGTAATACTGAAATTTTGAATGGTGGAGGGGGTGGATGGTGGGGGTCGGGTGGGGGCAGGAGGAATTCTGAGCTGGGGTGATGTCAGGGAAGCAAAAGAACAAAACCTTTTTAATCAAGGAATAGATATGGCAAATTATGATTCACATAGCCTAATCCTATGTGCTAGTTATAACTGCTCGGCGAATAACTGTCAGGACAGACCCTTCATTTTATGTAGCCATGACTTGCATTTTCTTGTTCAGTCCAAAAATAGATGTTAAAATTGCACTACACCAGCAGTAACAGAATTCACTACTGATGGATCAAATGAGTCACTGACAACGAACAAGCAAAACAGTGAATTAACTGGACATGACATCACAACCCATCTTTACACCCCAACCCCAGGCTACACAAAGTATCTGACATTTTACCTGAAGCATGTTTATTCAGCTCAGAGATGATAATTCTGCGATCTTGATCAGAGAAGCTAAATGCATTGAGTGCGCGGGATAAGGAAATCTCAATCTGAAACGGCACTAGTTATCCCCATATACAACTGCGCTCTGAAAACATTCACGTTGAACCCGGCAGCTTCACTCCTCTCGCAGTGATAAACAGGCAGCCTTTTTTTTACACACACCACCAATGTGACCACAAAGTATGCTTTCCGTATCTGGAATAGTGATAACAAGCTGTGGGAGAGAAAGACTGGTTATCACAAGTCCACTTTGTTCATGTCAATATTTATGTAAGATAGGTCACTAAAAGATAGCTGAAAGAAAGAATAATTTTCTGGAAACAGTTATAAAACAGCTTACAGTCGTTTGCACAGATAAGTAGGGACACAATTTGGTTTTGGATGCAGATATAATCTTTTAATGGTCAGTGTATAAGGCCCAAACCTCAAAGAAAAGTTATCCAGTCTTAAGGGACTCTTTGCATTTTCTTAAGCAAATAAGCAAAGCAACAGTTTAGTACTTTTGCCAAAGTATTACGTTTCTTATACAATACTATTACACCTGATAGAGCCTATTGTCAGTTAAGGGGGAGAAAAGTAATTACACTTGGGTCTAGATTTACTAGATTTTCTTAGCATTTCAGAACATGCAGAATTTGGCAAATTGTTGAATTCAACTTCAGCTTTGACATTGGTTTTCTGTAGTTGCTAAAAGAATAAATAATAAGAATCTTTGCATTTGATATAACACCTTATTACTTTGTTTGGACATCTCAAAATGCTTTACAGGATTTTACTGTGAAGTGCAGTGACTGTATTTATAAACAAACCTGACAGACAATTTCCACACGGCATCATCCCACAAGTAGCCCGTGAAGTGAATGACTGATTTTACCTGGGGATTGTTGGCCAGGGCACTGGGAGAAACTCCCTTCTCTTTTCGATCAGTGCCATGGGATGTTTAAGGTCCACCTGAACAAGCAGGTAAACACTCTGTTTAATGTCTCATCTAAAGAACGGCACCTCTGATAATGCAGAGTTACCCATACTCTGCGTTGAAGTGTCAGCCTAGACTGTGAATTCAAAATTAGGGTTATCTGACTGTGGGCAGGTTGCAGCTTTAATCTACAACCTTCTGACTCAGAGGCGAGAGTACTACCAACTGAGCCAGGCTAACAAAAGCAAAGCTTGAAGAACTGGAAGAAAACTGACTTAAAAATGAAGGTTATATTTAAGAATTTGCCAATGCTTTGAACTAAGATAACAGAATAAATCTAGAGTCAGGTAGGATTTCTAGTCCTCAGTGACTTTGGAAATTGTTCCATTGCCAGTAAATCTTGCGTGAGTGGCAGCAAGCAACAGTGGTAACTACAAGTTTGGAACACAATAACACATTCATCCAGAGTCAGCTGCTTTTTATTTGTTCTAAAACAATATCCATTTCAAGTTACACATAAACATGGTACACAACTCATCTACACCAAATACCATGCAAGCAGCCGAAAGCAATTCATTGGGGTGGGGGGTAGAACATTATATATGCAGGCTTTTATTTTACATCATTTCAAACTCATAACAATATACAGGTAAGAAAAAAAATCCAAACACCTGAAATTAAATTTCTTCTAACAACTTTACAGTACATTCAAAATAGATATGGAGCATCTCGCCATCCTAGTAGTGTGTTTAGTGGCAATTTTCTATTCACGATCCTTTTACCACATGTAGCAAACACGAGGAATATAAAAAAATGAGTGCTGTGTATTTGGCTTCTTTTAAGACCATTTAAGACCAATTTCATTTTTAAAAATTATTATTATTATTGCACCTTTTATGTCCAGACACATTGTTAAGGCTGATTGTAAACTGACGCACAGCAACACACAAGCCTACCTATGCCACTGATATACTACATCAAAGATGATAGTCTACACATAGACACAACCAGTGCTGATGCATAGGTTTAACTTGAATACCAATAATGTCTGCAACCATGTAGATGATACACACACATACACACTCTCACACACATACATACACCTGGCCTCTAAGCACAGCTTCCTTTGCATTTTGATAATAAGTACTTTATAGGCTTCTCAGATTTTACCAAAATCTGTAATATTGGCATATGGACCATCAGTTACATTGTATATCAATTTTCCATAGCTTTGCCAATGATATCACAGCAGAGAGAATTATTGGTTATATTGACCTGTGACAACATGATATTATCGAGTCTTGGGTCTGGGAGAACTTGTAGATTCAGAACATTAGTGCTTTGCACAATCCAGAACTGGAAATCTAGTCTTGCTTGTCCTAGAACTGCCTGCAGTTCTGAGACCATTACATGAAACAAATGGAATATTGACAGGCAATGTGGATGGATGACACAGTCAAAGTGGTATTGGTTATTGATGCAGCAATGGATCACATTGTGAAGCACTGTGCCATTTTTTTTCTTCGAGGCTCCTGTTGGATTGTTCCTATGAAGAACAGAGCTTTGGATACAGAGACTCCTTGATCTGACACATGCCTTTACCCTTCTTTCAGCCCATTCGCAGCGGGTCAATTTCCTCACCATTTAACACAAAATATACACAAAGGTATTTCATTTCACGCCCAATTCGCACGGTGCCTTTTGAAGAGTTAGTTGAATCCAACGTGTCAGCGCTAAAACCTTAGGGTAAAAACAAACAATCCAAAGCAAAGAGAAAGTTTTGATTTGTCCAGAGGCTTCTCTTGTAACATACATAATCTTCCATTGTAAATTTTCCCTGGGTTTAATCTCTGCTACGGTTTCGTTTTTTCAGGAAGAAGAAACTTGACTTCATAGAAGGTCCCAAGAGCATAGGCACTTGGTTTCTGTGTGTAATTTTGATCTGAAAAAGAAAATGAGCAAAGCAGAACAGCCTTAGCTTCTGTTCCATCAGATGTAATGTAAAAATATCCTAGCACTTCATCTTCCAGCTGTAGCTTTTTAACAGGCTTCAGGCTGTCTTGAAGAACACAACTGCACCTTTGGCCAAAATGAACTCCCACAAATCATTAATCATATTCATACAAAGTTCTCTCTCGTTTCCCCTCCGCTCCCCACACAGAACATAAAGCTGCATCCAACTTCTCATGGATTAGAACTGAGAGTGGGTGAGAGAGACTTAGAGCAGAGGAACATTAAATGGGAAAGCTTAAACAAGACAGCATTCCTCTTTTTCTCCCTCCCCCCCCATCTATTTGAGAAAATACTCGATAGTAAATATAATCAATTTTACTCAACAGCCTTTGGGTAAAAGGACCATAAGGTCACAGGTTTAAATCCCACTCTGTACTGAGTTACTTGATTTCAGCCTAAGCAGCATTTTCAACCATATATTCACCTCAGCACCCACTGGGTCACAAAGTTGGGGTGGGGAGAGGGGGACCCGGTGGGATCCGCCATGATTCCAACTCCTGACCAATATTCAGTGACCTGTTGTGTCCCCAGTACCTCAGGCACTGTTCATGACAGGTGAGCTATTGTGGCACATCGGCAGCACTTGGAGGCGAAGAGCAATTTCTGGGAATATAAAATCTTCCCACTCAGCTCCTGTTAACCCAGCAAGCCAAAGCCCTAATGAGTAGGGTGGTCCTCGTCAGATAAGCAGTGGGAAGCATGCTAGCCAATGCTCTCAATAGCAAGCCTTGTTGCTTTAGCAGGTTAAACTCCAGTAGTACCCCAGCACACACGCTGGGGTCCTCAAGCCTTGGCTCTTGTCAATCTGCACCTGAGAAGAATGGTGAGAACAACCTTTTTCACACCAGACAGTGCCTTGATCAACTGAGCTACGAGGAGAAAGTACTCAGAGGGTTTTGAAACCAAACAGCTGGCAATTAAAAGGATGCAAAATATTGACAAATGTGACCAGGTAACAGGATTTATATGTACGTCAGTAAGAGCACAACACAAATATAGATAACTACTAGGTAAAGATGCCACCTACAGTACAAGGAGGCTGCATCCAGGGCTCTCCATCGATCTGCATAGGCAGCAGCTTGATTGTCCTGTCAATAAAACAGGCAAACAGTTAGCTTTGTAACCTGGAAAGTGGTCATTTTGTACAATGTAGGTTTTTGTGTGTGGCTGTTTGGTAACCAGATAATGGTGGGGAGAGGTGGAAGTGGGGAAGTGTACAGAGAATTGGCTAAAACATCAGCTCACCTGAATATTTTTTATGGAAATAATGAGCAAACAGACGTATTTAGATAATTACCTGATAGTGACACAGGAACATTGAGCCAGTCGCTTGCCAGCACTCTTTAGCCCTGTGTAAATCTGTCCCATCTCCATGGCACCTTCAAGTCCAACAACCTCCAGCAGCTGATCGCTTAGGTCTGCAACATATAAATTCAGAAACTCTGTTTCTTTTAAAGCCAATGACTGATAATAACAACAATAATAATCCTTGCAATTGATATAGTGCTTTATCAGATATTCGAGGCATCTCAAAGCGCTTCACAGAATACACTGGAAAGTGAATTGATTGTACTTTGTGGGCGAAACCCCATCTATGGAAAACCGAATGCACTTTCACACAGACTGTGTTGGAGCAATGATAACACCTGCCCCATCCATGAATGAAAAAGCTCTTTAAAAGTACCACTTTGTTGACCTTTTTGATGTAATTTTACTACCGTTGTACAACCTTCCCAAATCTAATACAGGGGCCTCTTTATTGAGGAGGTTTTGCTGTCGGGTGTGGACTGCAATCACTTCCACACAACATCCAGAGCAAAGCTTCACAGCAATTCACCTGCCCAACCACATAAATGAATGTCAGTCACAGTCTGTCTCCACGAGACAGAAAGAGGGCGAGATCATAAAATGGCAAAATAAACTGCAAAGCGTACGTTTTGAAAAGGAGAAATAACTATATATGTTTTTATTCCATTTAGATTAAGTTAACTGTAGAAAAAGTAACATTTCGGTAAATTACTGTGGATTGGCTCCAGAACAACAACAAATTGTATTGATATTGCATCTTTCAAATTAGGAGGACGTTCCAAGGCGCTGGGGGTTGGAATCAAGAGGGGTAGAGGGACGAGAGGATTGGGGAGATGATTGAAGACACGGTCAAAGAGGAAAATCTTGAGACAGGCATTGAAGGAGGCAAGGGAGGGGATGAGGTGAAGGGACTCTGGGATGGAGTTCCAGAGGGTGGGGGCAGAAAGGCTGAAGGTCTGGCTGCTGATGATGGGGCGGGCATGGCAGGGTCATAGAGCAGGCCAGTGCCCGCTGACCGGAGGGAGCGGACAGCTTGGTAAGGTTTTAGTAGGTCGTAAAGGTTCACACCAAGGGAGGAGCAAGACTGTGGAGGACTTTAAAAGTGAGGACGAGGATCTTAAACTTGATCCTCTGGGGATTAACTTCCCCATGCCCCATCAACTTTTTTTTCCAGTTACTTAGAAGAAAGTTATCGCCTGCACAGTGTTGTACTGTATTTGGTGAGTGGTGCAGTTATTTTGCAGCTGAAGTTAAAACCATCTGGACTGCTACAGCAAGCAGATTATTAGAGAGTCATTTGAGATTCTAAACAAGGTGCCCATTCAGATTACGCCAAAAACACTGGTTACTTAGGAAGTAAGTGAACATTTTATATGCCCCTATGGGAACCACCAATCAAATATTTTTATTTCCTCCAGAAACACAGAAAAAAAAAGTGCTCACTGGATTTAGAGAACAAATTACAAAAACATATTACTTTAGTATTGCTGGACACTGATACGAACAAATTCAGCTTTCAGGATCGAGTTATATGATGTGTAACAATGCTGGAAATTGGAAGCAATGGGATTTTTCAATAATTCGACTAGTTGTCCATGGTTATGGATTTTTACCTTCCACTGCTTTTGGCTCCTTCAATGCTCAACACCAAAGGTTCACACCAAGAGTTCATTGGTGATGGGATCTCTACTTCTCAATGGAAAAAAGGGGGTTTTCTTGGACACCTTGGCACTGTACTAACTATGTCGCTGGTTGTTGTTCTGATGGCTGAAGCAACTGATCAGAACCAAAGGCAGTGGCAGGAATGCTAAAGTTGTCCTCAGTGCCCTGGGGTAGGGAGGGGAAAACGCAGCCGCTCCCACTATCCAATGACTCCCTGCCGTAAAGTATCCATGTCTTGATATCAGGTGAGAACAGGATTGGGCTCAGCTGTGTTTGCTCGCCATAGTAGAATGGATTGCTGATGCTTACCACGTAGGCACACAAATGACGAATGAACATTTGGGCAATGTACCAGAGGTTGGCTGGTACGTTTGCCAGCAAGGACATCTTTCAGGAGAGCAGAGCAGAGGAGGGGAGGAAAATTAAAAAACAAAGATGCAGAATGGAATGCCAACTTTCACTGGCATCTCGTCAGATCATGGGTCCATATGTAGCAGTAACCTAAAGCAAATCAAGTCGTCTTCTGCCTGGTCTACAAACAGCTGACATTCCTACTCGCCAACAATTCATGAATGAGAAACAGGATACAGAGAAGCTGGAGGTGGCATAATGAAGAGCGGAGTTTAAAAAAAACACATTACACACAGAAATAGATTAGGTAATGCATCGCACTTGGCTGATGTAATGCTTACACCACAAAGGAGGCCAAAATACATCAGCACCTGGTTTCTCGCACAAAATGATACAGGTAGAGACTAGTTACTTCTAAGATGATAAACACACTACTTATGGCAAGATAGGAAATATATGCATTATCTTGCACGACTTGCCCAGACCTTGGTGGAATAATGGAGTCTAGAGTATTTGTTGGAATACAAAGTGAACATCCTGAGTTTAGGATTGCTTTACATTGTAGATTTTTTCATTGTCCTCCCCTATCTTCTCTGTTTGATTGTATTGGGGGAAGAAGCAGAGCATTGTGTGAGATATTGACTGTAGTCTACAATTCAGGTGTATGTGCTCAGAACAATGACATTATCTTCCAGGGATCTTTAGTTAGTACAGAGTACAGCAGCTTTCATACTTAGTTACCTTAATGACTAGGATGAAGGTTTACCTACGTAATGTAAGCCTGGTCAATGAGCCTTAGCTGAGGTTAGCTGAACAGGCCAGCAATGCTCTGCAGGGACAGGATGACCAAACAGAGAATCAACCTTGGCTCCTTTCTGGCCCCAACCATCCCAACGGCCCAGTCTTCCCCTGGGCAGCAACTTCTAACTGAGTCACCACAAGACTTTTAATTCAGAAAGGTTACTAAAACAAATACCCCTGTCTGTCTCCGCTCAGAACAGTCCACAATCAGTAATGCTCCTTTGCCACTGCAGGCATCCCTTGTTATAGCTGTTACGAAGTACTTCATGAATTGTGTATAAAAGAAGTGACAGAAGCCTGTTAACTATAGTCTTTTTGCAAATTAAGCTTTCTGTAAGTAGTTTGCATCTGTAAGCTTTTATTTAGGGCATTTCCTAAAATTTGCAGTTCCTTGTGACATGCGGCTTGGGGGTCATTTACACTTTTGTTTGACTCAGCGTGTTCCCGGACTTCTTTAAAATGAAATGTGCTGTGGGGGCAGTGGGTAAAGGAGGTGGGAGGTGCACGGAAAAACTAATCTACATCATTTAGAAAACATTGGAATGCCCCGTGCTGGTTGATTACATTTCTGTTGCACAATTCTGTGGTAAATTACTTGTCATTCACAGCAGAAAACCCAAAGTGGCACAACACAGAGAAACAGAGACAACTCACAGGACAGGACAAAAGTGCCTTGCATTCACCCTGTGCGATTTTTTGTCAATCACAGGAGAGAAGGAGAGACAGTGCAACTCTTTGTAATGACTGAAAAAAAATGACGATTTGAGACAAGTTGAAACCTATCAACCTCGAGCCTACTGACAATTTATAGATTTTGTATGTTTAAGGGCAAGGGGAATGTACAATTATAGGAATTTTACTGATGAACAGTCTATGCTTTTTCAGAATAGGCACAACTCAGAATATTAGTCATTGTGGAGTCCTGTGGCTTAGTGGTTAGAGCACTCGACTCGCAGCGAGAGAACCTAAGTTTGATTCCTGGGCAGAGTGAAACGTTAGACAAGTTTCCTTACTCCACACGCCTTGGTTTATAGAGCAGTAAGTAGAAACCCGGTTGTTAATTGATTGGCGGATCGCTTTTCCGGGGGTAATAATCCCTTCAAAGAAATTAAAAATAATAATTTGGCCATTCCCTCCCCCACCCACCAACATACACACACACACACACACACACACAGAGTCAAAAGTCTACATGTATGCATTGGGCACAAATTTGGCTTTTATTTGCAAATAAGCGATCATTCCTGTGTATTGCTAACATTGCAGGACCGGGGGAGGGGTGGAGGTTATCTCCAGAGGTGGAATGCTAACCCACCTTGGGAGGTGGAAACAACCATCTTAGCAAGAAGGGGAGGTAGTGCCACTTTATTTATATTGCAGCAATGTGGAAGGGCAATAGTCCAGTGGTATTTGATGTATTAACAGAATAGTTGTCGAAATGTTTATTCATTACAGAAAGCCAAAGAAGACAACAGAGGTCATTTTACCACCATATAAGGTTCTGGGAGTCAATCCCATGCTTTTCACAAACACCAACGGGCCCGTTGTTCCTCTCTTGGAATGGAATTTCAATTTTCCAAGAATAGTGTCCAAAATGCGCGAGGCAAAAAAAAATTTCCATTCAAAACAACAGTAACTCCTTTTTATGGTGAGCAATTCTTGCATTTTTTGTTGCACAACTTATTTCTTGCAACACATTCATTCAATACACTATTTCTAGGAATACACACATTGTAACCACAGCATGCTTAGTAGTTCAAACGATATACTCGTTGTGTTGGTGGATAAATATACCCACTATATATAAATGGATACGTGGGAGTGAGTTACAAAGTTGCAATCGAATTGAGAGGTTAGGCCGACATCATCATCTGACTTCCACGATTAGATTACAGCTTTCAGAACAGACTGGAATTTTACATACTAGAACCTACTTAAAGAGAGCCAAATTCTTTCTCTATCTTTTAAAGGCTTTAAGCTGCCTTGATACATTTAGGAGTGTGACCGAGTCTCAGTGCCAACACGTTACTATGGGGTCCATTGGGGAGAGATATTCTCCTGATAGCCCAGTGAGTAAATGCTCCTGGTGTTTGAGGGAGCCATTCAGACCAGGTATGTCCCAGGGTTTGGTCTGTGCTGAGAAATTTAAGTCCTTGTACCTATTAGGGAGATTAGACCTATAAACCCCCAGTGCCTATTAGACCCCTATTAGGGTCTTGATTCTTGCTGAGTTATTTAAGCCATTGATCTGGTCTGGGGTTGACATCTGCTTCACAGTATACTGATCCATTAAACT